ACATTCAATTTTTGGTCCAAATATGTCCTTATGGACGTTAATTGTTATGTTGGACATATCCAACTCATTTTTTATTTCTTTAAATGCCACATGGAATTGTCATGTCATTTTGGCCTTACCACATAACATTTATATGAAAATGAAAAGATATTCGGACTCATAAATACCTAATTCGACCCATAAATCAACCCCTATTAAATAAATTATCCGACCAATTTTCAACAATTTTGTTTAATTTTTATTTTTTTTGATAAATTTCAAAAACGAGTAATTAATTAATAAAAAATAGGAAAATATGAAAAAAGTATAAAATTAATGCCAAAAATTCATAAATAATTATAGTAGCCTTAAATTAAATTTAAACACTTTTTTTTAAAAAAAAATATTTTTTTCGATAAATCCCGAAATGAGTAATTAATTAATAAAAAGTATAAAAAAATATAAAATTAATGCCAAAAATTAAAAATAAATACAGTAACCTTAAATTTAACAATTTTAATATTTTTTAATTTTAATTTTTTGACAAATCCCAAAAATTAGATTAAACAAAAAATATGAAAAAATATAAAAATTACGCAAAAAATTTAAAATAAAAATAGGAAAATACAAAAAATAAAATAAAAATTGTTGAAATTATTGAATTTAAGCTAACTATATTTATTTGTGAATTTTGACGTACATATTTTTCCCTTTTTATTAAAAAATTACACATTTTCGGGATTTGCCGAAAAATATAAAAAATTTAAAAAATTGTAGATTGAAATGTTACTATATTTATTTGTGAACTTTTGGTGTTAATCTATATTTTTTTCATATTTTTTATTAATCAATTACTCATTTTTTGAGATTTATCGAAAAATAAAAAATCTAAAAAAATGAAATGTTAGATTTAAGGTTACTATATTTATTTGTGAATTTTTGGCGTTAATTTTTTATTTTTTTCTATTTTTTATTAATTAATTACCCATTTTTGGGATTTACCGCAATAATAAAAATTAAACAAAATTGTTAAAAATGGGTCGGATGGTGAATTTAAAAAGAGCTGATTTATGGGTCGGATTAGATGTTTATGAATCCGAATATCTTTCTATTTCATATAAATGTTATGTGGTAAGGCCAAAAATGACATGTCAATCCATGTATCATTTAAAGAAATGAAAAATGAGTTGGATATGTCCAACATGACAACTAACGCCCATAAGGGCATATTTGGACCAAAAGTTGAACGGCGAGGGCATGAGTGAACCAAACTTTAAACGGATGGTATATCTAAACCTTTTCGAATAGTTTAGGGACATATTTGACCCTTTTCCCTATTTTATATTGTATTACGATTCACTTGAGGAAAATACTTTTTTATTAAAAATATTTTAAATCTAAAACTTGAATTTGAGGCTTTTTATTAAAGGGAAAACGATTTTATTTATTATACCATTTTGGAATCTAAACTTGTGATTAAAAAAATAATACGAATATTTTTTATATTTATTTGATTATTAAATTTATGCTCTGTTGTAATTCAAATTTTAGTTCATTGAAGAAATCAGTAAGAGTTCGTTTGGATTGGTTAAAAATAAAAAATCTAAATGAAATGATATTTAAGTCTAAAAAAAGTAGAGGATATCTAGTTTTGATTTTTGACTTATTTTAAGTTAATTTTTTTTTATCTTGTCAAACATTTTCTAACTTCTTTTGAGTTACTTTTTATTTATTTTAAATTATTTTTTATATATCTCAAAACTTTCAAAAGTTAAAAAATAAATTAAAAATAATTTTGATCAACTTTTAAATCAATCTAAACGGCCTCTAAAACTTTTATAACAATCGGCCCAATATCAGAAGCATGATGTATGTAATTTTAGGATACAATATTCATAATCTTAAATAATATGGAATATAAATTTTTTTATTTGTAAAAATATAATTATAATAATTAGTTATGTAATTTTAGGATATAAAATCCGCTCGCCTCTCTCATTCCTCTCTCTATTTTGCTCACATCTCTCCTTCCTCTCTTGATTTGCTCGTTTCCCTCCTCTCTCTCCCTCGATCTTGCTCGTCTCACTTTCCTCTTAATATGTATTTATTTTAATACAAATCAGTTTGTATGTGTGTGTTTTTCTCCAAAACTCGAGTAAAAATATACTCTCCTCTCTTCTAGATCTCGTTCGCTTCATTCCTCCCTTAATATTTTGCTATTATTCTTAATTAAGCAAACTATAATTATAAAATGTCTAATATTTGCTATTTTATACTTTCCCGTATCATAAAATTAACATTTTGATATTGTGAAGTTGAATGGTTGATGCTACTAATTACTTCAATGGTATTGCATAACAATAGTTTAAAATTTAACGATGAATGAAAATAAGATAATAACATCTTTAATGTCTTTTTTGATAACAAGGTCATACAGCTAAAATAATTAGGTACTAGGAAATATAAAGCCCAAATTGCCTCATACAACTATTTTCTTTACTTATAATTTAAATGAATATTAAAAATAGTCAGGAGCGGATTTACGTTTTTGGGTGGAGTGTCACGGTACCCAATAATCTCGAAAAAAATATGGTATACATATGTATATATGTATAATAATTAAATATGCAGTAATTGATTGTATTGCGAAATAGCTCAGTTGGTAAAAGGTAGAGTCTATCACCTTGTCAGTGCAGGTTTGAACAGCAACATCTATTTATTTTTTTTGCTTTGTTCCTTTTTTCTTTTTCTTTTCTTTTTCTCCATTCATTCTTATTTATTTACTATTCTTTATTAATTCAATTTGATCCCTTTTCACAATTAATTTTTAATTTTTATTACTTTCTCTTACACTTATTATTAATCTATTGATATGAGTGTAACGTATTAATTTTTTAATCAATTAGTGAGCATGGAATTATGAGCATCAAATGAATATTACTTTAAATAGTAGTTTTTAGAAAATATAAGTTTCAAAATGTTTTTTTCTAATTTAAAGGTTCTTTCTATCTTTACCGACGTTTTTGCTAAGTAAGATGAATAGGTTGAAACTATAATTTTTCTTTCCTAACTATATATCTCCAACAACACATAAAGTCAATGAAAGATGAATATCTTGTGTTAATATTATTAGATGGTTTATACAAGCTCAAATTTTAATGTAAATTTATTTTCTCAAAGTTTCAGCGAATAAGACATCTAATTCCAAAAAGAAAATAAAAATTGAATTGTTTAGTTATCTCTAATTACATAATATCTAAAAGAAAATATTATTATATGCACACTTAATCGATTTGTTTATACAAATAAAAAATAATAATAACCTAAATTGTAACCCAAAATTAAAGCAACCAGTCAGTTTATCTTACTTGAACGTTGTGGCACTCCCGACCTTCAAATCCTAAATCCGCCTTTGAAAATAGCAATAATTGAACATAATAATATATTTATAATTATTAATAAATTTGTTGAAGTAAAATATGAATAAAAGACGTGAACACATAACTTTTAAAAAAGTAGTTAGTTCAAAGCTACAACACTTAAAAATAATGGATCGTTTGGTATAGTGTATAAAAATAACATACAATTGAGTATATTAGTAATGTATGTATTAGTTATGCATAGATTATTTGTTAAGCGTTGTTTGATTTGGTATGTTAAAAATAATATGCATTGTATAAAAATATTTATTTACAAAAGTATCATTCACTATTATGGTGAAAATATGTAAAAGTACTTTTTTGGGGTAATTGAATTTTTAACCAAATCAGTGCATGTACTATAGCATTTGCATTACTAATACTTAAAAATCTATGATATTAGTAATACACACAAAACATAAAAAAAATACATCAAACAAATTATAATACATATAATTAATGCATACATTATTTTTACTAATAAACTCTACCTAGCGATCCCACAAATCCTACGAATTATAATTTTCACCACCAATTATAATTTGGTCCCTCATTTATAATCCTATTCAAACGCTTTAATTGTCAACATTGGGAGTTATCCGCAGAAAAGTTTCTTTAAAAATAATAATTAAAAACCTCTTTACAAAAAAATTATCAAACACCAAAAAGTTAATAATTTATAGGTATTGCAAAATTGATTTATTTATTTTTTAAAATAAATGCTTCTTTTCAAACTTCGAGTTTAACGGAAAAAAAGGTACTTCATCTCCTTAAAAAAAGGTCAAATTTATAAATAGATCTTTAAATTTGTTGGGTCTTTTCGTCAGGTATCTTAACTATGTCATTTCCTATTGAATCATTGAACTACCCATAATTTGTTCCTTTTAAACACTGTTGACTAATATTGGTCAACTTTTCTATTGTAAATGTCTTCAATTGTGTTCCGATTGTAATGATTTTAATTGAAGGAATGAAGACAAACTGTGTGCTAATCTCATTTTTTTTCTAATGTGTTCAAATGAGTTGAAGTAAACACAATTGTTCTCGAACATTTTCACTATCAATTGGACTATAATGAATTCTGGAACAACATATTTATCCTCTATCAATACCCTTCACAATATCTGGTTTCATATCAATCAACGGTGTTTAAAAGAAATAAATTATAGGTGACTCAATGATTAAAAGGAATAATAAATACACTAGTACTCCTAGATTATGACCGAAATTTCAAAGACACACCTAAACTAAACTAAGGTCCTATTACCCGTTGAACTTATTTTTTTTATAATTTTGTGCACCTTTTTGGCTTATATGACATCTAAATATCTCCCATGCGCCTCAATTGCGTGGAGTCACGAGTGTGCCACGTAAGACAAAAGGTGCACTAAATTACAAAAAAAAAGTTCAGGGGGGCAATATGACCTTAGTTTAGTTAAGATATGTCTCTGAAATTTCGGTCATAGTCTAGAGGGTACTTGCATTTTCCCAAGGAACAAATTATGCATAGTTAAGGTATCTGGTGGGGGGGGGGGGAGGGGGAATCAACAAATTTAGAGATCTGTTTATGTATTTAGCCAAAAAAAGAAAAAGGTCTTTCACTAATAACCAATTGTGATACTTACATAAAATTTACAAAGTACAACGATCATCATTTTACATGATGTTCAACATGAATTCAATATAATATGACAACGATATATAACATATATATTCAGTGTAACATCATCGATAACACATGTAAAAAATGGTGATATATATATATATTTACTTTGTCTTAGATATAGAGACGACCTCTTTTACCATGAGCACTAATCAATTCAATTTGAATTTCAATTTCACCACATTCTACATGTTGCAATCTAAGAAGCATATTTTGTGTCATTTTTCCATTTTCCCATAATATGCAACTTTCATCAGATAAGCAATTTTCTCTATTTGGTTGAACCCTATCCACTTTCACACCATCTGGGAGACCTTCTAATCCCATATTTATAGCATCAAGATATGGTTTTATGTCTATATTTGCATCTCCCATTTTGTCATCTGCTGTGAATGTATCTTTGTCATACACTGTCTATCCAAAAAGAAAAAAAATTAGTCAACCAATATACACACTACAAGAAAATATAGAATTTATCGTTAATCCACAGCTAAATGAAATTCACATAAAACTTTTTGTTCTTTAATTACAAAATTTTATCTGACGTTAATTTCTCATTTTGTCACAATCATATATTCGTTGAACCAAGTTTAAGGCCAGAGAGATATTTATAATTTGTTCGGTCAAAACTTCTAAAATCAACTTGTTTTGAAAGTATTTTTTTCAAAAAATTACTTTTGATGAGAATCCAATTATGTTTGATCAATAAATGTTAAGGGAGATAGGGTGAAACTTACCCGCACCGGGTGTTTACACCAATTCAATACATGCACGTCACGTGTTCAAATTTATCGTTCATTTTACTCAGTCTTAATTAATTAACATGTGTCTTCATTAAATCACATAATAATGGATTTTGGTGTAAACACCCGATGAATGTAAGATTTTTCCAGATAGCTAGATTTGTATTTCTCTTTTATTACCAATTTAAATTTTTAGACGAAATGAACACACAATCCAAACAATGTTTAGTGTTTAATATATTGTATCCTTATTTTAAAAAACGAAATAAAATATAAAATTATATATACAAAAATTGAGACTTACTAAGGTAATAGGAAGGTTGGGATCATAGAGTGCAAGGCTCAATTCCTCATTCCACACAGGATTGCAGTTCTCTTTGATAACTCGAGTCTTTGATTTCTATTAAATTCATAGAAAATAAATTTTCATTAATAACATAAAAGTTAAGATAGTCAATCATGCGAACAGTTTTCTAAACAGAATATGATTTTTGTTGAGAAAGGTAAATAAAAAACTATTCTTATCATTCATGTCAAGTTATAAATCAATATTATCTATAAAAACTTTTTATAATGATATGATAATACAAATATTTTTTTTAATGCATAGAACGTAAACTCTTTGAAGACAATAAATAACGAACCTGGCCACCCATGGTGATGACAACATAGGGATCACTACAAAAAGAATCTCTAATAGCTAGATTAATCCCTCTACGAACTCTAATTTTCAAAACTCCCAATACATTCATCTTTCTTCTTCTTTTTCCTCTATCTTAATATGCATAGAAATGAAAAAGAATTAAATTATGTACCAAAAAAAAAAGTGGAAGAAGAGTACTCAAATGATATCCTCAAGACTTAGATATTTAAGGTGAACCTCAAAAATAATTGCAATATTCTCTTCTTTTTTAAATGTCTCAAGTTAATGACTTAATTTCAATTGAGAGGCTATTTTCTTAGGATAGTATTCCATATATTTACTTTTACTTGTCTATTATTTCTGAAAAATAAATTTTCGTTTTTACTTGTTATTCATAATATATTAAGTTTTTTATTTTAATATTTTATACATAACATTAACTTGTTATTTTCCAAGCCATTTTGCAAGACTAAATATCAGGAGTAGGCTTTAAGTATTCGGTTCGGGATTTTTATATATTGAGTTTTGTATGGATAGTTAAAAATAGAAAATATTTTTTTGAATATGGTGTATTTAGGTAAGTTTTCTTATCAAATGTGGTTTTGCTCTTTAGGATTTATAAATGGGGAAATTACGCGGATAAATAAATATATACTAGTTAATTAGCTAGCATAGCTATATGCTGAATTGATTACGCTATAAAACATGTTTTTATGTGTAATTACGTCGCCTTTCTCCTCTATTCCTCTCTCCTCTTTTATACATATACAACTACAAATATAAAATACAAATCATATTATACATATGGAATTATATGACAGATATACTGTCACGCATCGAGCTACCCCCGAGACGCGAATACGGAGCTTAGAAAATCCCAAGCTAACCTGCTGGCATGATCATGAGCATACTAAAGATGATAAACTGATGCAGAAGGTAAATCATAATTAAATCTGAAAAGATAGGGAATACCCATATTTTATAACTGAGATATTTGAAAACAATTAGTTTAATACAAAGAAAATATTAACTCAATACTAAGCTGAATCTAACTATGTCTGAAAATAGACTCTAAATTGGACTAGAAATATTGGGACAAGACCCAGCTAATTTAGCAAAAACTGAAAGTAAATGACTAAAATACTGAAATGAAAATCATGACTGTTGTCCTCGAAGAATGAGGACTCACCACTGAATTTGCTAAACTGGAGATCGGAAATAAATCTATGCCTGATCTGTATGCTGAGAACTTGAACCTACATCACGAGAAGATGTAACAAACGTACGCGTCAGTACTTAAAAGGTACTGAGCATGTAGGATAGAGTAAAGCTGAAATAAAACATAACTGAACAAGCATAAAAGCAAGTATTATAATCTGACATGATAAACTGAATTCTAAGTTAACTGGATGCAATGACCAATTTATAACATGTTGAAACTAAATACTGAGTATACTAATAAATGGTCAATGCAGAGAGTCTGACTGACTGTGAGAGCTACTGATAAACGATAATAAAACCACATGAGCTAAATGTGGAGTCCGATGTATACGCCCCATCAAAAGGACCCAATATACCCTGCCAAAGGTATAAAGGCATGCTGGCATGATCACTAAACTGATTTCCCACAAAGGGGACTTACAACCTACTTGGCTAGTAATTCTGGGACTATTGGGTATGCTGAACCCTAGTCTAACTCGATATTATGCTACTCCCATAGATTTATATAGTTAATTGATTATGTCTGAATTTTCTGTAAATACTGGATAGCTCAAAACTGAACATGCAAACTGAGAATGCAACATTTTTAAATTGATAATGATGCATTAAAAACTGAGGCATGTATAACTGAATAACTGAAATATTTAACCTAGCATGTGTAATTCAAGGACTAAAGAAATACAAAGCTAGGGTTCTGAAATTCATGTGATAATCTGAGTAATAACATGATAATCTTATTTTGGAATATATATTTAATAAGTTCATGAAGTTCTATAAAAGTTCTAGAAACCCTAGGTTTAATCATGATTAATAGAATCAAGAATTTGACTGAAAACTAGGGACCCAATGGGTGAAAGGAACCCACCAGTGAAATCCCACATACCTGGTGATGAAATCCACGGAAAAATACTTAGATTTCAGAGTTGGATCTGCTGGAGCTTGTGGCATTCTTGACCTAGGATTTTTGAGCTTTTTCTCCTCTCTTGCTTCTAATTTTCTAAGTTTTGATTTAATGGTTTGACTTAGATATGTTTTAACCTCACAATCTCATTAATGTAAAACCTTGCATAGTCTTCTGCTGAATATGTAGTCTTGACCGCCAAGAAGCAAGAAGACTTAGTCATCATATCAACTATCACCCAATGGAGTCATTATGTCTGCGAGTACGCGTAATCCTGTGATGAAGTCCATATAGATCACATCCCACTTCCAAGTAGGAATATCGATCTCTTGAGTCATACCCCCTGGTTTCTGATGTTCTACCTTGACTTGCTGGTAATTGGGCACTTACTCACAAAGTCTGCTATATCCCTCTTCATGTCATTCCACCAATAGACTTCTCACAGATCGCGGTACATCTTAGGGGTACTTGTATGAATAGAATACCGAGAGTTATGGGCTTCTGCAAGAATATGCTGTCTCAACTCGCCCACATCAGGAACATACAATTTACCCTGGTAGCGAAGTACACCATCCTCCCCCTTGGGAGAAAACCTCCACTCTGTGATTATGGACTGCACCCTTAAGTTCAAGAAATATTGGGTTATTGTCTTGCTTTTCCTTAACCTTCTCCCCCAAAGAAGATTCTGCCCCATTCTAAACTGTTACACCATTGTTTGATATGTTAATAAGGCGAACTCCCAAGTGAGCAAGCCTGTGAACATCCTTCACTAGCTCCTTCCTTTCTTCCTCAACATAGGCTACACTACCCATAGATAATCTACTAAGAGCATCTGCTACTACTTCGCTTTACAAGGATGGTAATGCACACACATATCATAATCCTTAAGGAATTCAAGTCATCTCCTCTAGCAAATATTCAACTCCTTTTGGGTGAACACATACTGAAGGCTCTTATGGTCAGTGAACACATCTACATGAACACCATACAAGTAGTGTCTCCATATCTTGAGTGCAAACACCATTGTTGCAAGCTCGAGGTCATAAGTTGGATAGTTCTTCTTATGCACCTTAAGCTGTCTAGAGGCATACACTATAACCTTATCTCGCTGCATCAACACACAACCTAGTCCAACTCAAGATGCATCACAATAGATCACATAACCATCTGAACCCTCTGGTAGAGTCAAGACAGGAGTTGTAGTTAATCTAGTTTTCAATTTTGCGAAGCTTTTCTCACAATCATCTGACCATTGGAACTTGACCATCTTCTGTGTCAACCTAGTCAATGGTGAGGCTATGGATGAAAATCCTTTCACAAACCTTCTGTAATAACCCGCTAGACCTAAGAAATTTCTGACATCTGTAGTAGAGGTAGGTTTGGGCCATTGTTTCACTGCTGCTATCTTCTGAGAATCCACTCGGATCCCTTCGCTAGATACAATGTGAGCAATAAAATCAATGGATTGCAACCAGAACTCACATTTACTAAACTTAGCGAATAACTGGCGATCCTTGAGAGTTTGCAGAATAACTCTCAAATGACTTGCATGTTCTTCCTCACTCCTAAAGTAAATAAGGATATCATCAATAAAGACGATAACGAATAAGTCCAAGTACTGTTTGAACACTATGTTGATCAAATCCATAAAAGCTGCATGAGCATTAGTTAGTCCAAACGACATAACTACAAATTCATAATGACCATATCGAGTTTTGAAGGCTATTTTCAGAATGTCACTATCTCTGGCTCTAAGCTGATGATAACCCGATCTAGTGTCTATCTTTAAGAAATGTCTAGCACCCTGAAGTTGGTCAAACAATTCATCAATCTTGGGGATGGGATACTTATTCTTGATTGTGACCTTGTTCAACTGTCTATAGTCAATGCACATTGTGAGAAAACCATCTTTCTTCCTTAAGAACAACATTGGTGCACCCCATGATGAAATACTAGGTTTGATGAAACCCTTATCTAGAAGGTCTTTCAACTGCTCTTTTAATTCCTTTAGCTCTGCTAGAGGCATTCTGTAAGAAGGAATAAAAATAGGCTGGGTATCTTGAAGGAGATCAATTCCAAAGTCGATTTCCCTTTCGGGAGGGACTCCAAAAAGATCTTCTGGAAATATTTTTGGAAACTCACAAACTACTGGAACTGACTCAAGAGTTTGGGTTTCAAGGCTAGAATCCTTAACCCGAACTATATAATAGAGATAACCCTTAGATATCATGTTTGTGCTTAAGGTAAGAAATAAATTGACCCATAGGCGCTAAACAACTACCCATCCATTCTAAGATTGGTTCATATGGAAACTGAAACCGAACAATCCCAGTTCTACAATTGACTGAGGCATAACATGAGTGTAACCAATCCATGCCTAGAATGACATCGAAGTCTACCATTTCTAACTCTACTAGATCTATTGAGGTGACTTTCTAAGAGATTGTGACATGGCAATTTCTGTATACCCGTCTAGCTATAACTGGGTCACCGACTCGAGTAGAGAGTGAGAAAGGTTCTGAGAGAATTTTTAGACTGACATTGAATTGGAATGTTATGTAAAGAGTTACAAACAAAAGAGCAGCCCCTGAATCTAACAATGCATAAACATCAAGGTCAAAGACACGTAACGTACCAGTGACTACATCAAGAGAACCTTCCTGATCCTGGCCAGCCTGAAGAGCATACAAACTATTCTGGTGCTGACAACCACCTGTATCAAATGAGTTACCTTACTGAGTTGGGCGACTTGCTAGTGCTGCTGAAGTTGTAGACTGAGATCTACCATTACCATCTCCTTGACCTTGTCTAGAAGGACAATCCTTCAACATGTGACCGAAATGCCCGCACCCAAAACATCCCTCTTTTCCTATAAGACACTCACCCGGATGGTTTTTACCGCACTTAGGGCAAGTGGGGTAAGTCTTGGTGCCTGAAACACTTTTCTGAAATTTAGAGCATGGTGCTCTACCCTTCTGGTCATACTTGTTCTTGGAGGATGGAACACTAGCTGATGAAGGGGCTGGAGCATATCACGC